CTGATTTGCTTCTCTCTCTCTCCGTCTATATATACTGTATATATATACACACACTAATCATTTGCCATTTTTGTAGCTTTTCAAGTTCTTAATTTTTTTTAAGGTTTACAGAATGATCATAAGGCTATCATGGTGGATATCGAGGAGGCACTTCATAATCTGCATGCAACCGCAAGGGTCAAACATGAGAAAGATGAGACAGAAATGGACGTCACCGAGCCAACCGTGTCTCTGCCGGCCCCGTTTGCACTGGTAGACGCCGTAACACAGGGCTCCCCTGCTTTTCAGGCCGTGAGTTTGTGCCCCACTTCTAACTTAAAAGTTAAAAAGCTTTGCTTGTAAATGAATATGCAACCTTAGATAGGTTGCAGCTTGTAAAAGCTTTCATGTTGACTTTAAGATCCTGTATATTTAAAATGATTACATTATACTGACCACATGTTAATTATGTTCTTCTAAGTTGCTGATTGCAAGGTTTATTTCATTTCATAGTAGTACTTCAGTCTATACAGAAACTGATGATGCAACTAGAGAGTTTAAAACCGATTTCTGTACTTCTCTGTTTGTAGGGTCTGCGAGTCGGTGATGAGATTATAGAGTTTGGGTCCATAAATACACAAAACTTCAGGAATCTGCGTGACGTCGCTTCTGTTGTCCAACACAGTGAAGGGGTTTGTTGTACCTCCAAATGCTTTCCTTTCAGTTAAAACTGTAGCGCATTCACTTATTCTTTTGAATACGTTGCATTCCTGATCATATACTACATGATTCAGTTTAATTTTGTCTTTGTTAATTTCTGTTTACTGTAGAAATCCATACGTGTTGGAGTAATCCGAAGTGGACAAGAAGAACATCTTCATTTGACTCCGAAGCAATGGTCTGGTAGAGGACTACTGGGGTAAGTAATGTCTTTATTGTATTTATTCAATTTAATTAGGAAAATGTAAAAGCTTTAAATAACACTTTTGTCTTCATTTGTATTCTTCTGTCAATAGGTGCAACTTATTGCCTCTGCACAGATGACCAGTGAAAGGGCAAGGATCATCTTTATGCCAAACACCTCTTTTGCACCAAATAAATTTGCAATGGGTTAACTTTAATTTTGCTTTTGCATTCATTGTGAAATTGAGTTAAGTAAATAAATGACCAAGGAGAGATGGCAGACCATTTAGTATCAGACTTTCGTAATCTGTCAGATAGGATGAGTAGAGAATTTATTAGCAAGGTTTTTACTTACCTTCTTCTCCTTTTACATTTCTTGCATCCATATGCAAAAGTTCTCAACATTTCTATGTTAAAACGGCTGAATGGTAAGAGCAGTCATTCTGAAGTGAGTGGGCTGTGAAAGGTTGCATAAGCTGCATACGCTTTGTTATTAGAAGAACACCAGAGTGAGTAAATAATGTCTGAATTTTAATTTTTTGGGTGAACTATCCTTTTAATATGAGTGATAAACATAGTACAGGGTTTCAGTCTTTTCTTTTTCTTGTGAGAAAATCAGATTAAAACTGACCTGGAAACGTTTTACCATGCCTTCATTTTCTTCCTACTTCTCAAATGCCTTACAATTTCATATAAATATGAAATATTACATGCTTAAAACTATGATAAAATAAAGTATGAAATAGTAAATAATTTCAATATATCATTGTGTGAAAATTATGTATATATATATATAAGATATATATTATCTTGCATGGAATTTTGACTAGTTATAATGTAATTACAGATAGCTTGAACCGTCTTATTAGTCACTTGTCAAAACATTTGTAACAATCTAAAATGTAATCATGTCAAACTAAAGCATTAAATTATAAATTGGCTTGCCATATAACATCGTATTTATAGAAATGAATGACTACATTGCGTTAGGGTTTCCTTTCTGTCCTGTAAATGACATATTTGAGTAATTTGAGTTTTACATTTAAAATACTACGTTTTGACTGCTCAAATTCAAATATAAATCTACAAAGTTAGGCTATTTTGAATAGTAATGTATGAATTCCAGGTATCAAAAATACATTCGGGATCTCTTTAATGATGAAAAGATTAAGATGTAATTAGAAAACAATTAGGGATTCAATATAAATTACAGTATGACAAGTCATAATTGGATTACAGATATCTTGACTTTTCATAATCGCTAGCAGATATGTGGAACTGAAATTTCGACAAGTAAAAACTAATTTACGGCTACTGAAGCGTTAAATGACTAAACGGCTTGCCATATACGGGATTTTTTTTATTTTTATTTTTTTATTTTTTTTGTACGAACGTCACAAAAGGAAAAATCAGGCAAAGTCGCGAAGGAAGTGCGCAGGACTTCCCGGATGGAGTTTTGTCGCCATATTTGGTCGCCGGTAGTATAGGAGGATTTTAAGCTGCTGTTACTTTGCATCCGTCTGCACAAACAAACAGCCTCTCTTACCTTCACTTTTCCACCTCCTCCCGGTCCCCGGTAGCCATGGCAGATCAAGAGCACTTGGTTTACCAGGCTAAACTAGCAGAGCAAGCCGAGAGATACGATGGTGAGTTGATATTTTTGGCAAATTGTGTTGTCACGCATTTGAATTACAACAGA